ATATTAGACACTGCAGCATAATGTTTTACCTAAAAACTCAGCAAGGTTTGCTAGATATGAATTCAAAACTTTAATATGGATCAATAATAAATAATTTCCTGGGTATCTTCCCAGAAGAATTAAAAATATACCACAGCAATATATGTGTACCCAGTATATATATATATTTGTAGTAGCACAATTTGTAATAGCTAAATCTTGGAAACAACCCAAATACCCATCAACTGAAGAATGGATAAAAAGGTGTGGGTTTTTTTAAAATAATGGAGTATTACTCACCCATAAAGAAGGATAAACTTGAGACTTTTATAGGTAAATGGATGCAACTTGAGACCATGCTCATAAGTGATATGACCCACATATGTACACATCATATAGTCTCACTAGTGTGAGAAGCTAAACAATAGGACCCAAGTCACAGTTTCTCTTTTTTGAACAGATATATATATAGAGAGAGAGAGACAGACAGACAGACAGACAGAGAGATACAGATATATAGATATATATAGATATATTAGCTAAGATAGTTATACTGCTAGTTTCTCTTAGTTCATTAAAAAGAAAGTTTTGTGCTAATATTGTTTGGACAATAAATGTCAATATCTTGCACTCTGAGTAACTAATTTAAAGACAAAAATATGCAGTGTAATATCCATTGTTACCTGCCTATTACTTGGGAAATTTGTTTTTTTCTCTTTAAAATAAAAATAAATAAATTTTTTGAAAAAAGAAAAGAAAGGTCTGTGCTAATACTATTTGGGCAATATCTCCTGTCTATATCCTATATCCTGAATAACTACTCTGAAGAAAACAATATGCGTTGCATTAATTACTGTTACTCTCGTATTGTTTTGAAATTCTGGTTTTTTTTCTTTTTACAATAATAAAAAAATAATAGTAGTAAATTATTTTAAATTTTAATAGAACAAAATTATAAAAAGAACAAAAAGAAAAGATACCTTGGGCTGAAACAAATAATAATTGCATACAACATTTGTGGTAAAATGCATCAATCATTACTGAAGAACAAAGAAAGAAAAAGACAGAAGAAATAGACTATGGCAGCAGCCAGTTGCCTAACAGATTTGTACACCTGGGCTCAGCGATGAATTACTGTGTGCACACGGCAGAGACAGATTCAGATTCAGCTGTTTCTACTAAAGGATATTTGGGTGCCGTCAAATTTCCACCAGAAAGGGGATGAAAGTTGGACATATTGATAGAATGAACTGTGATACAGCAGTAAAAAATGAATGAACTATAGGTACATGTATAAAAATAGAAAACATGTTTTAGAACAATAGTAAGTTGCAAAATAACACATGTAAACTGTTTTAAAATATTCAAAGTATTTTAATAGATACACATATGTAATAATAGTGTAAAACATGTAAAAAATAAATACTTCTCAGCATACATAAGGCAATGGTACAGGGGACTTTGGTTTTATTTGTAACTGTTTTTACTTTAAAGCCCTCTGAAGCAAAAGTAGCAAAATACTAAACTTTATAAAGCTGTATTATGGGTCCATAAGTATTTATTATCATGCACTTTCCACATATTTAAAAAACATTTCACAGTAAAATCATAGTCAAATAGCAAAGTCCTAGAGATAGCTTCTGTGCTGATAGCTAGGAGCACGACACCTAGGAGCTAATAGTGAGAGAGGGATGTTCTAAAAATTACCAACCCTGTGGCACAAACAAACAGAACTCACTCACATTTCTCCACCTTTCCCCCAAAAGCTGTGGCAGAAGGCTCCCTTATGTCTAAACTTTTAAACTATTTTTAATAAAATTAGACAATAAAATGCAAATATCTTTACCTGAGGGTTTCGATTAAATGTTCTGTAATAAAGAAAATTTTGTATATTAGTGGGGGGAAAGTAGATAGAAGTGTAAATTAGAAGGACTCAATAAATTAGAAATCAGAAAATATCAGAAAACAAGAACTAGAAAGACCTAACAGGAAAGAAAGGGAAAATGTGGGCTCTGTACTCTGCCCAGGGCTTATGCACAGCACCAACCCTACAAACCCCAGGCCAGTGGTGGTGAATCCAGGGCACGTGTGCACAGCTGGCTGGCTGTTAACACTGAAAGCTCTAAAAGGTTCGCCATCACTGCACTAGACACTTGTGCTGTTCCCTAACATTGCCATAAGCCAGGAGAAGCATAAAGAAAGGACAGAAAAAAAAAAAAAAAAAGAAAGAAAGACAGCCACCGAAGCCACGGGGGCGGTGAGGAACATGAGCTCCTCAGCTGGAACTGAGTGGACTGATGACACTTGAACAGGATACTTGTTCCAAAATAAGGTAACTCCAGTGGTTCCACCTCTGAGGTAACCTGTATATGGTCCTCTGTCTCTGTGAGACATCTCCTATCTTTATTTACCATCATAGTTCATTTACGCGGATTGCAGGGAAAGAAGTTGAGTTACAACTTTTCTAACTACCATTCTATTAATAGCATAAATTTAAAGACGAGCTCAAACGCAGTTTCAAACTGCTCTGAGGCTAACATACCCTGAGAAGGGGTTCACATTCTTATTCAGAATTTGTTCCACCAGCAGCGCCATGGGGAGGATCTGGAATGATTCATGTGTGCACTTGTTTTGGTCAGAAAATCATCCAAGCACAAGCCTTGGGTCTCTGTTTTACAGTGGGAGGTGAAGACTTGTCAGTACTGTTTCCATGAGAACATGTGGGTGCGTCACCACCTGCTTCCTGCTTCCTTCCTTCTGAGCCCTGCTCCAGCTCTCCTGTCACCTCCTCCTGGCTTTACAGCTAAGCTTCCATCCCAGCAGGAATAGCACTGAAGACACTCACTTTTACAGCCAGTATCCCACCAATCTGCCTGGAGTACATCCTGGGTGTTTACATAGCTAAATCTTGGAAACAGCCATTATGCCCATCACCAAAGGACTAGATAAAGAATATATGATATATATATATATATATCTAATAGAGTACTAGTTGGCCATATAAAAGGGTAAATTTAAGTCATTTGTAAAAAATGGATGCACTTTGAGGTCACAATGTTAAGTGAAATCAACCTGACATGGAAGGTTAAACAATAGCACATGGTCTCTCTGATATGAGAAACCCAAACTCCAAGCAAAATAATAGATTATAGGAAATAAAATAGTGGACCTTTTTCAGATGGGAACAGGATGTAGGACAGAAGGAAGGAAAGCCAGAAGACAAAGGTGTGATGTGTATATGTACCAACTCCCCATGATTAATATACTGTGTTTTACAAACATGTGCCAATAAAAAATAATACTTTTTAAATGCTGGGTGTGTCAAGCAGTCATTCGAAAGTCAACATTCCAAGGAAAAAAAGAAGTAACATAGAGCAAGAAAAATGGGGACTGAGACAGTGATGCTGCCCTGGTGAGTTCTGCAGCCGGGAAACAGCAAAGGTGGAAGTCAGAGTGTGCCGTGGTTCTCGGAGAGCCACAAGGGTCTGTGAGCAGTAAGAGTAAGCTCAGCTCCAAACTCAGAGCTCGTTGGAAGGATGACGGAAAGTGGGGGTTCAGAGGCAGGGGATGTGGGTCCGAACATCGCAGTCCGGGCAGAGAGGCTGGGAGTGGGAAGCGCTTCGGGCAGGAAGAGTGGCTTTCCAACTGTTGAAATAAGTGACAACACCTCTGTCCCTTCCGATTATTGCTTTCTGACTCCACTAACCCTCTAAGGCCTTATTCAGATTAGGAAGACATTACTCTCCTCACCTGAGAGACCATGCACAGCTTCACACCTCAGAACCAGTCTCTGGTGGCCCAAATACCTGTTGTTCCTGTGGGTGTTTGCAGTGATGTGAGGGTGGAGTTCAGAGATGAGGTCAGACCTTGAGAAGCCAGAGTGAGAATTTATTTAAAAATTTGAATATTCGGAGGTATGATAGACACTGTGAAATGATAGGAAACCAATGAAGAGTAAAGGGCTTCTGGGATGTGGGAAAAGAGAAGGGAAAGAAGGAGAAATTTTGTATGTATGTATATACAGGATAGTTAACATGGTTGTTCTTCTGTCTTCTATTTCTATGCTGAAAGAAACTGTCAGTGAGTCTTTGGTTGACCAGTATTGCATGTTTATATCTGTTTTCATGAGAAGCCACTTTGAAGATATCAATAGGTAATACAACCACCATTGTTAATTCCCTACCACTTTGTTTGTAACTCTGTGTTGTCTGTATTGTGCTTGTGATATGTTGTAAAATGTTGTATGTCTGTTAATGTTTCCCTCCTTTTATCTTTAAAATAAAAAAAAAAAAATTTGAATATTGCTGTCAGAATCAGAAATATCAGAGCTCACTGGCTCAAACTCCTAAAGCAGAAATTTTCCCCTTGAAATCTGTTTGTGATTTTCTGGCTTCTTGTCAAGTGTTACAACAAAGTCTCCGCTTCTCAGCAGGGACCTACTCCGCGGACAGCTCTGAGGCTGGGAGACTGTTTCTCCGTTCTGTTTCCCTGAGATGCCTCTTGGGGAGACATGGAAACTTCCCTCCAGGCCTCTGAAGCTTCCTTTCTGCACCAAATCCTGCTCTATACTTTCAACCAGGACCCAGTAAATAAGTCCGACAGTGCTTGCTGCTCCCCAATCACTTCAACTGAATTCAGTGCAGTCTGACCTGCCATGTCCAGGCTTAGAGAAACCGTCACAAAGAAGCTTAATCCCAGGAACAAGGATATTGCTACCTCTGGAAAATGCTGGTAGATATCTTTAATGCTGATATGAAACTTCATTCACAAACCACTGGAGAGACAGAGATGATTAGATAGAGGGATAGATGATAGATAATAGATAGATGATAGAAGATAGATGACAGACAGATAGATAGATAGATGATAGAAGATAGATATATAGATGATAAATAGATAGATGATAGATACTTGATAGATGATAGAAAGATACTTGATAGATAGATAGATGATAGATAGATAAGACAGATAGATGATAGATAAATTATTCAATTCAATAACACATCCAGGCAAAGTTTGGAAGACAATCTTTATTGCATATGATATTTACATGTTAGGCTGAGGCCTGTTCCCCATCATTTTCTATACTACTGGCTTTGTCTGTTGCTATCTCCATGGTCAGTCCTTTTCCCTGGGCATGAGAAAATAAATGAGGCAGAGCAGGAAGAAATAAGAAGCTGTAAAAGTTCTTAACTCTTACCTAAACTTTACTTTTATATTAAAGCTCAGAGTGACACACACCACAAGGAGTTCCTTGCCAGGTCAAATGGAGTAATATGAAGGTTCTAGAACGTTTCCTGGTTTCATGGGAACTCACTTCCTGCCTTTCATCTAGAAGGCTTTGTCCATGGGCCAGAGTGAGATCTCAGCTCAGACCAAAGACTCACAGACCCAAAGAAGCCCCTGATCCCACTGGGCCTCTCTCCATTCTTCAGCCCAGGACTGAAGAACTCTCTCTTCCATGAGGGGCTACAGAATTTCCTCTTAAAGATGAGGAAAGTAGTAAAGATACTGATAAAGTTCCCAGCCAAAGCTTTCTAACTTCTCCTTTAAGTAAATGGAGGTCAGTTCCCCTGGAACCAAGTGTTCTACAAGTTGATGCATTCACGGAGCCAGCAGGTCACCCAGTGAGCCCACCACCCCTTCCCTTCTCCCCCATGGCCCTTGTGCCTAGACTCAGAAATCTGTGTGAACCTCAGGCCTTACCTGTCCCAAGAGAAGGCCACACTATCTTCCAGAATCTTCTGGGCTTTGAATATCAGTTGCTGCATGAAAATCAAAATTGAGAAAGATACTTCTTAGTTAAGGAGAAAGAGAGCTCTGCTAGCCCTTAGAAATTCTCTCACTTTCCTGTGGGAGTTGGAAAGTTCAGGAAAAATCCTGAGTTACAGTCATGTAAGATGCCTAGCAAGAAGCAAGGGGCCCAGTTATCCCCCCTTCCACTTCTCTGAATTGGTAAGGCCCCGGACGCTCCCTCACAGAGGCCAGGCCTGACTGGAGGGGCAGTGCTGGCTCAGCTGAAGAGCAGCTCCCTCAGCAGATCAATTCCCAGCTCGCTTCCTCCCTCTGGAGAGTGAAACAGATAGCCTGGACATCGGCTCCAGGGTTTCCTCCAGGCAAGGTCTTTCCCTGTGGGCTGCTCCTCCTCACACTCCTTTTTGGCTTGCTCCTGCTTCTGCTCTGCTTCCTGTGCCTCCTCCTGTGCCTTCGCTGGGGCGCTCTCTGCTTCTGCGCTTCCTCTCAGCTGAGTCATGGTGCGGTGGAACACGTGGCAGCTGAAGCCCTCCCTGATCCCATACTGCACGTGCTCCTGGAGGACGTCGATGGTGGCAAAGACCCGGCAGCAGGCCAGGCACCTGAAACCGCTCTCCACGGAGCCCAGCCAGTCAGGCGTCTTGACCCTGGGCATCTCTGTCCCGGGTATCTCCTCAACTGCAGGGGACCCTGGCTGGTCGTCTGGCTTGGCCTTTGTTTCCTGTTTGTTCTCCTTCCTGTTGAGCTCACTGTCAGACAGGAGGTTCCTGGTGGACATGGCAGACGGAGGAGTGCCTACCTGGAGACCCTCAGGAAGCCCCACTTCCTCCATTCTTGGCTGCTTTGCTGGAGACTCTGAGGTCTCCTCTGTCTCCCGAGAGACAGCCACACCTTTTTTCATTTTTACCTCTGTGTAGTATATTTTCATGGTTGTTTCTTCTTTGTTTATACACACAGAGTTTATACAGGTCTTACAAGATGAACAGGAAGAAAAGGAGACAAGCTTGGAGGCAGGAGGCTTTTCTTCTTGTTCTTTAACCTGGACAATGGATGGTTTATCCTTGGGCCCATCTCCTTGTACTCCGTGGATTCCTGGAGAAGGAAATTAAAAACATAAGTACATGCATGGAGGCTGCAGGAGGCTGAAGAAACGCAAGTGCAAATGTAAGTGGTGCAGGAGAGAGAGACCATAGTGTGATGCAGTTGTGTGATGAACTCATTATCTGTCGTGCTGCCATGTCATAGGGTGTGGCTTTTGTATAATGTGGAGGTACACTGGCAGAGTACATACACATAGAAATATGACTGCTGGTAAGGACTGCAGCATCTGTGGAGGAGAGGTGGAGTGTGCTCTGTGGATAGGACCTGTTGACCTCACCGTATGCTGTTGGTGGAATGTGGCATGGGAATGGCATTGTGGGTTGTTTGCCTTGGGCTAGCATGTGTGTTGAGAATGTGTGTGTCTGTGGTGTGTGGCTGAGGTGTGAGGTATACGCGCCTGAGCTGGGTGGCCCAGCCATAGTGCTGAAGGTCTGCTAAAGAACTCTGTCCTTTAGAAGTCGCACACAAAGGCATAGTTCAGTCAGTACCTTCAAAGGTGCTTAGTCTAGTTACTCGGTCTGAAACCCCAAACCCAATCTTTCTGGAAATCATTTTTCAGTGCCCAGACAGGGTCACACTAAGAACCTCAAGCTCTGCACTGAGCTCCTGTGCATGCTCTCCAACAGCTGTCCGTGCTGCCTGGGCAACTCCGCAAAGCACTAACCACCCCAACTGCCCCGCTTCCTCAGCAATAGGCATGGACTTCTGTGCCTCCTGCACTGTACCAAGGAAGCCCACATCCAAGGAGCCTGATACCTAAAGATGGTCAGAGAGTCTCACACCCAAGGGGCCTTGCACCCTTACTACCATGGATGAGCTTGAGTGGAGAAGAAACCCAGGAGAAGAGCTCAGAAGCAGAGGATGTCTCCCCTGCCCCTAGAGTCTGGACAATGGTGACTCCAGAGCACCCCGGCTGAGGTGCTGATGACATTGAAGTTCCTGGAAAAGGTATGAAAGACAGAGAGATAGGAAGGTTAGGCAGGCTTGCTCACCGTGCACCTATTCAAAGAATATCTCCTGGGTGTCGACATGTACACCAGGAGAAATGAGCACACTCAGCTTAGAATCAGTCTCCTATGGATATGTCAGTAGTTGTTGATAGTTCACATCATTACAGTTCTATTAGAAATGGAAATATATATCTATACCTGTGGAGAATATGTGTCTGTGCTTTAGGTTCACAACTCAGGAATTGTGCAGTATATAATTTTTCCTGGTTACATAGTGCACCGTGTATTACCAATGGGCATTCATTCATTCATTCCAGCAAGGTATTGCACACACAATGAGGAAATATTCCATTATTTTAGATTCTGAAAATATTGAAAAAGGCAGACTGCCTTTTATATTTAGACCTTCCAATGTAGTATGGAGGACTTCAGACCCTAAAAGAACATGCAACATAATAAATCAGCTTATGGTGAATATATAAAAGTACCAGATTTAACAATTGAGAATACCTCATGCCAACTTAAATTTGAATTTCAGACATATGACAAATAATCTCCAGCATTTAGTATAGGAAAAAATGAGTGTTCTACATCTGGGTCACGTGTGGTGTAGTAAATTCTTTTTATGGTGCTACTAATACCCTGATAGTAAAGCAGGCAGAGATAATGCAATAAAGAAAACTAAATACCACTATCCTCAAGAATGTAGATGCAAAAATTCTTAACAAAATATTCGCAAATAATTCAGCTATATCTAAAACAAACTCTGTTCTATCACCAAGTGGGTCCTATTTCCAGGAATGCAAATCAGATCTAATATTTGAAAGTCAGGCAATATAATCTTTATTAACTGGCTAAACTGTAACCATAATATGATCACACTGTTCTAGTTTGATTAAGATTTATCCGGCAAGTGCAAGGTTGTGAGTTAGATACCTGGCACCAACAAAAAAAAAAAAAAAAAAAAAAAGGTTTATTGTCCTCCAAAGTCCTGTGTATCGATGGCCTGGTACCCAGGGTGACAGCATTGGGAGTATCTTTAAGCAGTGAGGCCTAGGAGTTTAAATTGGACCATATCTTTCGCTATACACTAAACTAAATTCAAAATGGATCAAAGATCTAAACATTAAAACAGAAACACTAAAGCTGCTGGAAGATAGAAACACTAAACCTCTTGAAGGCATTGGTATAGGCAAAGACTTTATGAATAAAATTCCAATTGCACAAGAGCTATCACAAAGAATCAACAACTGGGATCTCATCTTATTAAAAAGCTTTTGCACAGCAAAACAAAGCAACAACAGAGGGAAGAAACAACCCACAATGTGGGAAAAAATGTTTGCCAGCTGTTCCTCAAATAAAGGATTACTATGGAGAATATATAAAGAACTCAAAAAAATCTAACCTCCCAAATTTAAAGGCTCAATTCAAAAATGGGCATCTGAGATGAATATATACTTCTCAGATGAAGAAATATAAACTTCAAATAAATATGTGAAGAAATATCCAATATTAAAAGAAATATAAACTTCAAATAAATATATGAGGAAGTATTCAATATTACTGGTCATTCGAGAGATGCAAATTAAAACAACACTGAGATTTCACCTCACTCTGGAAAGAATGGCTATTATAAAGAAATTAACTGATAACAAATGCTGGAGGGCCTGTGGGAAGAAAAGAACCCTTCTCCACTTTTGGTGGGAGTATAGGTTGGTGCAACCACTGTGGAAATCAGTGTGGAGATTCCTCAAAAAACTAGTATTGGAGCTCCCATTTGACCCAGCTATTCCTCTTCTTGGTATCTTCCAGGAAAAATTAAAAACATCATACTACAGCGATCTACGTGCACCCATGTTTATAGCAGCACAACCTGTAATAGAAGAATCTTGAAAACAACCCAAATGCTCATCAACCGAAGAATGGATTAAAAAAAGATGTGATTTTTTTACAATGGAGTACTACACAACCACAAAAAAGGTTAAACTAGAGATTTATAGGTAAATGGATGCAACTTGAGTCCATACTCATAAGTGAAATAAGTCAGACTGATATGTGTAAGTAAGCATTTTGTTGTCTCCCTAGTGTGAAAAGGTGAAGAGTAAATAAAATGTTATAAATGTATATTAATTCTGGAAGTAATGTCATGTTAGCCTTCCAAAGTTTTTCTTCCAGTTTCAAAATTGTTTTTAATGATTTTAAGTCTTTTGGATTTTTATCTCAATTTTAGAAAAGGCTGCCAATTAAAAAAATGAAATTTTCATTAAAATTAGATTATTAGATCAATCTTTGGAAAATTTTTATCTGCAAGTGTTTCACCTTAAAGTGTTCTTTGAAATCTTCAATTTCTCTGTAATGTTTTCTAGTTCTTTATATATAGGTCTTGTAAATTTTGTGATGAGATTTATCACTATTTCATATTTTACTACTCTTATAAATGATATGTTCTGTTTTTGTTTGTCACTATGAAGTGGAGGTACAGTTGTTTTTCAATAATCTTTATTTTATAATAAATAAAAAAGAAGTGAAACCTAGAAGGAAGTACTTGAGTTGCCCTCATAAGGGAGGAAGGTGGCTCTCCTGAGACCGTTGGGCAGTTCTCAGCAGACACAACCAGACACCCGGCTCACTCTGCATCCTGGTTGAGATGCAATGCTTCCTTCCCCGTGCATTCCCACCATGACAGGACACCACCTGCACTCTACACCAGTGGGAACAACTAGGAACCTCTGGGCTGTGCAGGACCTAACTCTCTTTGCACAAAGAGCTGCCCCAGTAGTATTTTGTTGCAATGCAAAACTGAGTAATAAACATAGAATTTGATGTAAAACTTTTCTGAAATATCCACTGTGCTAAAAATCAGTCATAAAAAATGACTAGATAGAAGCTTCCCCGACTCAATAAAGACATTCCACGTAAAATATGCAGCCAGCATTATACTTAGTGACAAATAGCTGAGTGCTTTCCACTTAACACAAACAGAAAATCTGTCTTCTCAGTGTTCTTAATAATACATGCCACAGCTTAGATGTGGAGGGTTTGCCCGATGCACAAAGGCAGGAAATAAATGCTCTTCACATGAGAAAAGATATAATAAATCCATACTTATTTCCAGATTACATAATTGTGTAGTAAACTCCAGGGTATTAAGAAAACAGAAAAAAAAAATAGTAGGAGGGATTGAGGGAGGAAGGAAAGGCAGGAAGGAGGGAGAAAACAAAGAAGAAAAGTCTTTAAACTAATGAATGAATGGAGTGTGGTCCTAGGGTAGGACAGAAATTTATGGCAATCATCCCTCAGCATACATTTATTCTAGAAATCCCTGAAAATTCCAAAATTCATGAAAGTTCAAGACCCTGAATAGTGTACAATTTGCATGTAACTGACACACATCCTCCTGTACACCTGTTTTTTTTTTCTAGATTACTTAAGACACCAAATACACCATAAACACTGCAAATAACTGCTCTGCTGTGTTGTTCAGGGAAGAACAACATTGAAAAAAGTTAGTACCCACTCAGTACAGATGCAATTTTTAAATAATTTCGGTCTAAGATTGGTTCAATCTCTGGATGTGAAATGCTCAGATACAGAGGGTTGAATGTATATTGCTGCATATTCCATAAACACATGAACACCAGAACTACAACAATGCAACTTCAAATTGCTCAAAATACGAAAAAGGTATAAATCTATCAACCGTGTGCAAGACTTGCACACTGAAAATTATAAAATACTGAATATATCACAGAAGATCCAAGATACATTTCATATTCATGGATTGGATGACTGACGTGGTGAAGATGAGATTCTTCACAAGTTAATATGCACATTAAGTGCCATTCCTATCGAAATCCTAGAAAGACTTTTCTGTGGGGATTTAGACAAGGCTGCTCTAAAATTTTTACAGAGAAGCGAATGATCTAGACTAACTAAACCAATTTTTAAAAGGAGAAAAGAAAGCAGAGGAAATTGCTCTGCCCTCCTTCATACCATTGTTGAATTCAATACTCAAGAATGCGTGGCACTGACCATGGCATAGATACACAGAGATGCTGACCAGAGTTAGACAGGACACCAGTATCTGCACACAAATATCCCAGGTGATGCTGATTTAAAAGGCTAAAGCAATTCAGTGGGGGAAAGGGAGCCTTTACAACAAATGGTACTGAGGCAATTGTGTAGCTATAGTCAGAAAGAAAGAACTTCCAACTAAACGTTACATATTATTCATTACCCCTGAATAGATCATGAATTTATAATAAAACCCTAATACTTCTAGGAAAAAAGAGTGGAAAATCCTCACACTTGTAAAAGAACATTGAGGCTGGAAACTAAAAGCATAATCCATACAAGAAAAGATAAGTAAACTAGACTTCCTCAAAATTAAAACCAGACTGGGTGTGGTGGTGCACGCCTGTAATCCCCAGCACTCAGGAAGGCTGAGGCAGGAGGATCACTGTGAGTTCAAGACCAGCCTGGACTACAAAGTGAGTTCAAGGCCAGCCTGAATTGCATAGCAAGACCCTGTCTCAACAATTAAAAAAAAATAAAATTAAAAAAATTAAAACCATTTGCAATGGGAATGATGCTGTTAAGACCACGAATGGACAAGCCACACACCATGCTAAGATACTTTCAGACTATAAACCCTGTAAAGCATTAATTTCTATAGTAACTTGTCTAAAGCTTTCAAAACTCAATAATAAAATAAATAAGTAGCCCAAATCAAAAATGGACAAACAACACAGACACATTTCACTAAAGAGAAGATAAGGTGGCAGAATTCAGCATCGTTAGTCATGAGAACATGCAAAGTAAAACCACAACATCGGTATTCAGAGGCTATCTGAACAGCTAAAATTAAGAAACAGAGACAATGCCAAATTCTGATAAGCACGTGGAAAAGCTGGGTCTCTTATACATTGTCAGTCAGAACATATAATGGTACTGTGAAAATAATGTGGCAGTTTAAAAAACCAATACAACTATGGTATGATCCTAGAATTGGATTCTTGAACATATATTCCAAAGAAATGTCAAACCTGTACCGAAAAACCTATTAAGAAATGTTTATAACTGCTTATGATGAACATCAAAAACTAGGAGTAATTCAGATGCCCTATAGTTCATGAATGGTTAAAACGTAGGGCCTTTAGACCACAGAGTAATACTCAGCAATCAAAATGACTGCACTTGGATGAATTTTCAGTGAGATAGGCTGATAGGAGACAACACAGAAGAGTTACACACTACACAATCCCACATATAAAACATGGAAGGGGTAAAGCTTGTGCTCGGTCAATAGGATCTGTTGACCTCACTGCATGCTGTGGGTGGAATGTAGGATGTCATGCAGGGGAATGGCATTTTGGGTCATGTGTCTTGGGCTAGCATGTGCATGGAGAATGTCTGTATCTGTGGTGTGACTGTAAGTGTGAGGTATGTGCACCTGAGCTGGTTAGCCCAGCTGTAATGCTGGAGGCCCCACCTAACTGTCCTCTGGAAGTCCAGAGTCCACATAGCTCCTAAAACTTGGTCCAACACCTCAAACTCAGGCCTTTCTGGGCACTCCTCCCCAGCTCCCCACACCATGATCCTCCTGGGATCCTGTGCTGCTACATGAGCTCCTGTCCCTGTTCTCAGTCCAACTGCCCCGGGGCTCCTTGCCCTTCTGCTTGAGTCCATTTGCCTCACGCTGTACTCAGTGTCATCATTCCAAGGAGCCTCAGGCCCAGATATATTCACAGTCTCACACCCAAGGAGCCCTGTAGTTGTCCTACCACAGGAGAGTTTGGCGAGCTTGGATGGCGAAGAAACACAGGAGAAGTATTCCGAGCCAGAGGACATCTCCCTCACACCTGGGTGCTGGGTCCAGGCCCCTCCGTTTGATCGAGGCTGGGGAGCATCCTCTGGAGACTTTGAGGGCTCTGTAAAAGGTGTAGAAGGCAGAGAGACATGGTGAGTCATTGTTTGTGCATTATGCACCTATTCAAAAAGTATTTATGTCGTGTCTAGCACATGTGGGTCATGTAGAGTGAACACACATAACTTAAATCAGGCTCCTGTGCACACTCCAAGATGTATCAGTAGTTCATGCTTTATTTCAGTTTGGGTAAGAATGCAGGCCTGTGTGATGACTGGGATGTACACGGGGACTCTCTGATAACTGTGGGGTCAGTGTAGTGAATGCAGTGGACATATGTCTCTATCTGTACAGAATTTGTGTCTGGGCTTAATGTTCACAGCTAGGGAATTTTGCAATATGTAAGTTTTCCTAGTTATATGATGCAGCTTGTATTTCTGGTGTCCATTTACTCATTCTTGAAAGCAATATTTAGTAAACCTATTACACTATTTTCAGAATGCCGAGCAAGATGGTCTCTTCTGATTGGACTTCCCAATGAAGTATGGGAATGCAGATGTGAGAGATACCAGATTCAGCAATTGATATACCTAGTTCCCACTTAAATTTTAATTTCAGATAAATCACATATAATTTTTAGTGTACATGTGTCTGTGGAACGTTTAGAACATACTTATGTTAAAAAATCATTTGAGGTTTACCTAAAATTTACTTTAGTCTTCAAGTGTTATCTGGCAACTGGAAAAAGGGGGTGATAGTGAATCTTTATTATTATTGTATAAAGAAAGCTGAGCCTGATATTTTACATGCAGCATGATGCATTTAGCACACTGCCACATGGGAGTGGTTCTTAAAGAGATATTTAGAGATAGTTTAAAGTAGGTATGTTTGTATGGAGCAAATAGATACACATAAATGCAGGTAAGCACGCACTCATACGTTGCCAGCATTTAGTATAGGAAGAGATGAGTGTCTACAGCAGGGTTGCATGTGGTATATAACTACATGTGCCATGCGAGGTTTAACACATCAGTTTTGGAAGGAGATGTGTGCCACTGTCAGGGTGAATATAGGTGTTTGTATGACTATTTGGTGGAAGACCTTCAACAAGAGTTGTATGTACACTGTCACAAGTATTAAGTACACCCAGAATTTGGGATGGAAGTAGAAACATTGCCTGGAGGACTTCACAGCTGCTGACTACTCCACTCCATTATCACCACTGCTCCTCTCCTAACACACAAATGGTCAAAACATTCTAGGAAGAGATGTAGGTGGGGGAGAAGAAAAACATTGTCTTCCCTCCTGGGAAACTCCACTCCAGCACTCCATTTCCAGGCCTCGTCCTATAGTCCTCCAGACCTGGGGCCTCCACGAGGCAGCCAGGCTCTAACTTGGGCAGATGCCACTAGCTGGATCTCTGTGGTGGGCTTCTCCCCACCTTGCCTCCTCCCTACAACTGTTCTCCTTCTGAGGCAATCTGCGTGCTTACGTTTACTGTACACAGTGATCACATGCCCTAGGAAGTGCGTTCACACCTCTCAATGTCCTGTGCTTGCCCAGGGTCTGCAGGCCTCCGAGTATGCCATCCATATGGTCTTGGGCTCTGTTAAGCCCCTGTCCTTCTCTTTTTTTCCTCTGGGAATTTTCAATCCTGTGCATTCACAAACTTCAGTGGACCAATTGATCAATTCTTCCTGCTAAAGACATGATATTTCTATGCTTTCATGTGACAATATGCCAAGACAGTCTGTTTTCTAACGGGTGCATCATTTCTCAAATTATTATTCAAAAAGGTCTTCAGCTTCCTAATGACTCTTTCCTCTCTCCAAGGCATAACTCATAGATACCTCAGTATTCCTCACAGCTCCCAACTCAGTGACCCAGAGACAAGAGCAAATAGAATAAGAGAACATGGGTATCTAGTTACTTTTCTCATTGCTGAGACAAAATCCCCAACACCCACAAGGCAAGGGAGGAAAGATTTATTAGGCTCACAGTTTGTAGAAGTTTTGGTTCATTGTTAGCTGGCTCCAAGGTAAGGTGTCATGGCAGAGGGGGATCACAGAGGAGAAACCATCCATGGCAAAGCAGGGCAGGCCAAAGCAGCAAGCAGCAACAAGTGACAACCCTCTTCCTATCCCTTATATCCATCCCATTAAGAGTTGGGCACCCTTAATCTTACCCAGAACTATGTCAAATCAATCAGTGGACTAATTTAGTAATATAACACACCCTTGATCTCAGCACCACACACTAGATCCAGCTACTTCTGAAAAACACTCCCTCCATGACCCCATGCAGGTTTGGGTGGACATCTAGAAACAAGCCATAACAATGGGAATTCAGAAAAGCTGCCATTTCTAACCTGTGTAGCTCTGACACCAGTCTGGCTGGAACCTATATAGATGCTGGCACCCATGCAGGAGCTCACAGACCAGCAAGGCTGACTTTTCCTTTGCCATGGAATTTTGTGCCATCAAAACAATGGTTAGCGTGGATCTGACAGGCTCAGCTCATATCAATTTTCTTCCTCTTTATGTCACAAATGTTCTTCTCATCAATTCTGCCTTCCTAGGGAAGGCTCAGGATAGCCAGTATGCTGCACCCCAAGACGAGGACCTAGCATGTACCTTCTCCTTTCTCATCGGTCTCCTCAGAATCCTCACTTTCAACATGTTTCCTCTTTTGTTGTCGTTTCATAGTGTCAGCTGGAAAAGCAAAACCTTAAAGAGTACTTAGTGTCCAGGTGCCCCTTCTCCCTCCAGGATGGCCTTCTTGGCACTCATGAAATCATGAAATGATTTAGTACAAGTAAATATAGTAAAGTTTCCTAAGTGGCTGAAGAGCTCAGACCACTCGGAGAACCAGCAGCCACGCCCATCGCCTACTATACTGCAGGGCTGGTAAGGTTCGAAGGTCAGCTTTTCTGACCTCAGTGATGACATCAGATCACCCTGCAGAACTCAAGCAGCTAAGATTCTACACGGCAACACCTCATTCTCAAGAGCTGTTCCCGGCTCCCTATGAAACCTCTGCAATGAATTCAACCCTCTGGTCTTTCAATGTGCCAGGAAATGTTTTGATGTTAACATGTTTCTAATATTTTTTTCTTTTTTCCTTGGCTTCACCATTTCCTTTCTGTTCTTTAGCAGAACACATGCTCTGTGTTCATTGCTCAGAATAGGAAAAGGACATAGCTGAAAGCAGCAAGAGTTTGTGGATATTCTTGATTTTACTTCTAAAATCCCAAAATTTATTTAAAAGACATACTGATGCAGAAATATGACACAGCAGGATCTTTAGATTACACATCACTCCCTTCAGACCCTATTACATGTTTCAAGAGGCATTAAAATTAGGTCAGGGAGAGAGATTTCTGAGCAATGGGAAAGAGTGATCATGAAACATGGCTGGAGACTGGGGTCCAACAAAAATTCCAAGAGGAAACTGCTACATTCTACATACAAACAGAATGATGACAGCCGTGCTTGTATGGCAAAGCAACCATAAATCCCAAAGACATCATGGCAGCTAAGCTGATGAAATCTCAACACATGCCATGTGCTCCAATAAGCAGTGGCCACACTCTCAAACCATCCCCAAAACACAGCCCTTGTGATTTCCAAATGGGAACTAGTGGGGATCCAGACAGGATGCCAGCAGGATGAGGGTGTAAATTACAAATCCTGTAGGTTTGTTGAAAAATGCCTTTTTTGCTGACAGGTTAGATGTTCTCCAGGAGCTAGGTTCCTGGACTCCTGTATCATGTACCCCTCAAATGAGCCAAGGCTCATCTGCCCCTCGATAACACAGACAAATGAATATGTGCAGACGTGGCAGGTTGAGAAGAAGCCTAGTGGAAACACAGCGTGATCACTGCCCTTCTACAGAAATGGACCTCTTTTTAGATTTTAAAGGATTCCACAGTGCTTTGGCTCTGCTTTGGGGAATATGGTCTGATACATACATGTGAAACATTGTCTGCTACTATGGCAAAGCTGAGGTATGGAAGGCATCACATGAACCAGAGAAAAAGTAGATGATGATATAACATGGAGGAAGAGAAGTATATGCTGCCTTGTGCTCCTTTCCATTCTAGTGGTAAAAGAGTGCAGAAGGAGGAAGGAACCAAGGATAGAAACTTGTGCTGGGGATTTGTCTTGCACTATCTGGCAGCTGTACAACCAGAATGGCTTCACCCTCTGCCTTCCATCTGCTCACCTCTGCCTTCCTCCACCACAAATGTCACCATCCATGGTCCTCATGACCCTGGAAGTGTTAGGGAAAGTGTCCACCAGGTAAACACAAACTGCTCAAGAACAGTAATCTCCATCAAGAACTGCAGTCTGTTACCACTGACTGTCATGGGTCAAAGAGTAAAACAAGAGAACAAACGAAGGCAGTGGGAGATTTATGCTTTTACTTCATGCTCTGAATTGCTAGGATTTTACAAGAATGCACTAAAACGTAATTTGTGTAGTTAAAAATACACACATATTGAGAAAAAGAGGAAGTTTTCCACCTCTAGGACAGTATCAAGCTTGAAACCGAAGACACCAAAACAGACCCTGCACACATCAAATAGGTCCAAAGCAATTCTGTAAAACCCTCCACTGTACACATAAATTTGGAAAATCATATGAATTGGTCTAGCTCCTCTAAAAGCACAAACCACCCACAACTCATTGAACATGTAACACACTGAATAGCCCTATAAATGGAATTTCTCATTGTTAAATTTCCAAAGAGAAAGTATTCATGACTGCATGACTTCACTGGAGAATTACAACAAACACATAAAGAATTAGTACCAAGTCTACAAAACCTTGACAAAGATTTTTTTATTCTTTTTATGAAGCTACTAATCAAAAGCAGGCAAATTTGATGCACAAACAAAGTTAAATTCCACTGCCTTTTGTAAATATAGATGCAAAAATTAACAAAATATGAACAAACAGAATTTATCGATATATAAAACAATATCACACTATGGACAAGTAGGATTTATTTTCAGAGATTATAAGCTGATAATGCAGTGGTACCTCCATTCATGAACTTAATTCATTCCTTGATTCTGAAAAGATGGCCATGTTCATGTTCATGTGGGAAAGATGCTTGTGGCTGATGCACAGCTCACAATTGAAGAAAATTTTGCCACTTTTTTTGTGAACCAAATTGTTCACAAACAAAAGTGTTCTTAAATCAAGGTACCAATGTATTTGAAAGTTCAACCAATGAAATCTAACAACAGACTAAAAATAGTTATAGCATAACCACATTGCTGTAGTTTGGGTGATCCCCACATGCCTGTGTATATGTGACATGGTCCATGGGGAGATCATATGAAAGACATCCAAAATTTTAGAAATGAAGCCTACTGAGAAGTTTTTGTGTCATCAAGGGTGTGCCCTCAGAACGGAGGAAGGTGGTTCTCCTGAGACCGTTAAGCAGTTCTTAGCAGACACAACAAGACACCCATCTCAGTCTGCGTCCTGGTTAAGATGCAATGCTTCCTTCCCCGTGCATTCCCACCATGACAGGACACTACCTGCTGTTCAGCCCTCACTGCACTCTGCACCAGTGGGACAACTAGGAACTTCCAGGTTGTGTGGGACCTAACCCTCCTCTCCTCACAAGGAGCTGCCCCACTAGTATTTTGTTGCAAAGCAAAACTGAGTAATAAACACACTAATTGTTGCTAGAAATTTTTTGAAATATGGTGTTAAAAACTGTCATAAAAATATGAATAGTCAGGAATTTCTCCAACTCAATAAAGATAATCCACATAAAATCTGCAGCCAGCACTACACTCAACACAAGAGCTGAATATTTTCTCCTTAAGATACAAACAGTACATCTGTCTTCTGACACTATTCTTTGTTATAATATTTGAGAGTCTGCATTTTAGGCTTTTTCATTTTTTATATTTTTATTAGTATATGTTTTCAGTACATAGTGGTAACATTCTTTGTAGGGAGTTGGTACACAAACTTAATACATTCATTCCTTCTTCTGCCTTGTCTTGGTCCCCTCCTCATTTGCAAAGATCTATCATTCTGCTTTTCACTACCTATCTTTTATTTTGCTATTTTATTTATAGTTTGATTTTCTCATATAAAAGGAATGGGATACTATATAAGTTTGTATGTCTGATTTATTTCACTGAATCTTTTGGCCATTATTCACTTAGCAAGGTGACTGGGTCTGGCTCCTGCACACGTCTTGAACTGACTAAGAAGCAGAACCAGGCAGGCTGTGACCTGCTCCTACCACCACAGTTCCCAGCTGAAACATGCAGAGAGAGCAAAGTATATCCCATCTACTACCTGGAGACAGAACAGGCAACCTAGGACCCCACTGCCATTACAGTCTGAGTCTCTGACCTCCATGCAGCCGCAGCAGACAGGAGGTCCTCACTCAGATGCCACAGGGACTGCTCTCACTAGGGTTCACATGTGGGCCCTCCCTGCACAGGCCCTGTGCCAAATGAATGAGTGCTTCAAGAGCTGCTGGTCCCGTGGTTCGAATCTGTGCTTTACTTGAACCTGGACTACCTGGGGGTGTGAAGGCAGGAGAGGTCTGTGATTGCTGTTGATCCAGCCTGCATCTGGTTCCTATATGTGTCCTGAACTGACTGGAGACACAGAATCACGTGATTCACAAACTGTCGACCCTGCAGTTCATGTTTGGGTTTTGCCTGTACCCTAAACTGCCTGGGGACATAGGTCCACTGGACCAGGATTGTCACACCAGTGCAACACAAGTCTGGGCTGTGCACATGCGCTGAACTGCAAGGGGACACTGGATCAGATGGTCTGCCATCAGCTGACACCAATGCCCACATCTGAGACCTCAGATAACTAGATAGAAATCAACAATTTCCAGAAAACCCCAGACTAAGTAGTGCTTCTAAGCAGACACTGAGGGGCAAACCTGACCAATAGGAAAACTAGGGACACTAGCAGCCTTTGCTGTGTAGCCACTGAAGAGGGAAACAGAGCTTTCTGCATCTGGCATCAAATGTGATGAAATGAAGGACTAAAATACAATCCCAGAACTCCATCCCACTCAGAACAAGTCCAGGAGACATCAACATAGGAGAACTTGGTAAACACATGCCCGAAATAGCTGAAATGACAGCAATAGAAGTAAAGAAACAACTCCATACAGTTATAGAAGAGATGAGATAAGAAATAATCTCTCAGGCAAAAAATGAAATGACAATAATAATGAAAGAACTGCTCAAAATGTCTGAAGAAGAAATATACAACAAAATACAAGAATAAAGGCAATGGACAGAAGCATTAAATGAAAAATACAAAAAGGACTTAGAATGCAAGAACCAGATTCAAAGAGACTTCCAGGAAAACAAGCTGCCATTGAAAGCTGCCAAAACC